TTAAGCGACCCTTACTGGGAGCTGATTTCCTCCGGCAGCACAATTTATTAGTTGAAGTTCGAGGACACCGTCTAATGGAGGCAGAAACCTTCTCGCATATCTCTTGCGCGGTCAGTTCCATTTCAACTGGCCCAGATCTGGCCCTCATAGAATCATCAAGCAATAGATTCCGCAAGATTCTCAACGAGTAGCCCGAACTCTTAAAGCCTGCTTTTTCCACAGCAGATGTCAAGCATGGTGTGCAACACTTTATTCCCACCAAAGTTCGACCTGTTTTTGCTCGTTCTCGTCGCCTGGCACCAGACAAACTCGCGTCTGCAAAGAAGGAGTTCGTTAAGATGGAGAAAATGGGCATAATACGGAAATCAAACAGCCCCTGGGCAACGCCTCTGCATGTTGCGCCTAAAAACGACGGAGGTTCCCGCCCATGTGGAGATTACCGCAAGTGTGTGTGTGTCTTCATGCTACAGAGGTTTATTTACATTAATTCAAAACAGAATTTCACGCAGTATACACAACGAGCAAAAAGCATATCTTTGAGCAGTCACACAATCATGTGATAACAGTGCACATACTCAATTTTTTAATGTTTTCTTGACGTCAAAGACAATATTGAAGCATGCAAAGAGTAAAGAAATCCTCTGTCATATAATTCCGATTCTGTAAACCCATAAAACCGTATGAAAATGGCTTTTCAGTGATTTGAGCAATTATTACCCTGTGAAGTCAACACTTCGTGATGTTGTTGAAACAATTCAGGGTACCAGTTTAACTTTTTCGCAAACACAGGACAAAAAATCTTTAATGTATGCCATCGTGAAAATGACGGAATGACCTATTTCGTATATTGGCAAAAAGAACACACAAAAACACATCTATATAAGTGTAAATTTTCATAAAATGTTAATTATTACGGACAAGAGACTGATATATAAAGTTCTAACGTATATTAGCATGCTGAATGCAAAAAATGCCGTTAGATTACTTGAATTACTTGAATCTAGAACTGGGGTCTTAGGAAGACGGGATGCTCCATGCTTCCTCGCCCCTCTTCATGAGGGTCCATTTCAGTGTGGGTAGGCTGATTGTCTCCATCATCAGCTGGTTGGTGTAGCCTCTGATGGGGTCACGCAGCCTGCCCATCCTACCTTCACCAAACTGCACTCCTTTCGCATTCAAAACTTTCGTGCTCCACGTAGATGCTCATCTGAGGCTCTGAAAGATAGAAGAGGGAAGAGAAATGGGAGGAAAAGGAAGAGAAGAGCTGGTGCAAGAAGACACAGGACAAAGTCCGAACGCCTTGTTATAAGTCACCTGAGGATTCTATATTGGAACTGCAGTAGCGTTGAACAAAGAAGGACATTAATAGAGAAGGTAGTGTACAACGCAGACATCATTTGCCTGCAAGAAACCAAGCTTGGTGAATCTAGGACTTTTGGAGCGATGGGGTTCAAGTAGGCGATTTACAATAGAAAAGGACATGGCCAGCTGATCATGGTGAAACATGAGATTGAATACAGAGAGTTAGATGTCAGCGGATGGAACACAGACAACCCGCATCTTGTTGCCGTAGAACTACATAAGCAATCAGTTAGGAACATCATAAATATTTACGCGTGCAACTGCACAATGAAGAAAGCAGATTGGATGGTGCTTGACGAAATGCAAAGAAGTCTACCTGGTGAATCGATCTTCTGTGGAGATTTCAATGCAAGGGGAGAGTTGTGGGGGAATGCCATCACCTACCCACAGAGTGAAACACTGGAAGATGGTCAGGATCACTGCGACCTAACATGCATTAACGATGGGAGTATGAACAGAATAGCAATGAGGACAGAGGACTCGGACAGTGCAATCAGCCTAGCCATCACCAGCCTACAGACCTCAACAGTCAGTAAATGGAGTACGTTAGGCCCTCATCGAAATGATCACTATCCGTGCAATGTTTTTAAGAGAGGAAGCAGCTGCATTCAAAAGAGACCACCAAAAGCCTTCAGATACCCCATTAGTGATGACGACCCAATAAACTTGATTAGGCACCGAGGCCAAACAACCAGAAAAAGCGGGCCACCAGCCATCAAGCAACCTCCATGGTGAAACGATGAGCTAGAGGTACTGTGGAATGATAAAAGGAGAGCCTTGAGAAGGTCACAGAAGAACAGTTCGGACCAGGAGCTTAGAGATGTAACCAAACAGGCACCAAGAGAGGTTCAAGTTGGTGGCCAATGAAGCAAAGGGCAGAAAATATGAGGAATTTTGTGAGGAGGTATCTGCTGACAAAGCCCTGCATAAGTTTTGGGATCTGTATGAAGCAATGAAGAACCGACAGAAAAGTAAGTCAATACCAGACTTCCAATGAGAGAACAACATCTGGGTCAGAAGCGATGAGGAGAAGGGAAATGCCTTATTCAATCGGTATCTGGAACAAACTAACCAAAAGAATGAAGTTGGAAGACGAAACATGTTGAAGAACCTCCAAAATGCACCTCACAAGCCAAACATCTAAAGTTGTGCTGACATCTGAAACCGTTAAGTGCACCATCATGAGCGGAAAAGACACGGCACTTGGACCTGATGGCTTGCGAAACTCACACATGAGGCAGCTGAGTGAGGCAGATCTGGAGGTTTTAACACAGACCTTTAACAACAGTCTTGGAAATGGACAGATACCGACTGATTGGCTGGACAGCCATCTGGCACCAGTACCTAAGCCTGAGAAAGACCCAAGCAAGATTGCATCCAACAGAATCATCACCATGCAGAAGACAATAGAGAAACTACCGGAAAAGATTGTGGCCCAAATGCTGGCAGCTGAACTGGAGGAGAAGAATCACAAAGACACTTGGATGAACGCTGCAGTCCTGGCCTCTGATGTGTATGATGGTTTTGAGCGGGGTGAAGAAATAGTAGTGTTTGCATTAGACTTGGAAGACGCGTACAACGGGGTATAATACGAGGTACTGACGAGAACGCTAGTCAACATGAGAATCACCCCAGCTTTGATTATCTGTATTGGAGAAGCAATGTTGAAGAGGAGGGTGGCTATGAGGCTTGGCTCGTGGGCATCCCACGCTTGCACGATCATACCTGGCTTACCTCAAGGCTCTGCCTTATCACCTGTTTTGTTCAACGTGTATACAGTAGGAATCACTTCTAGCCAACTGGAAGGCCCTGGCAGGACACTAAGCTTTATGGACGACGGTCTCGCATACCGCACAGGGAAAGACAGACAAGTGATCGCCAGCAGTTTACAGAAAGAACTTGATAGGATGGGAGCATGCTGTGAAGCAAATAAAGGCAAAATCCATCTTGGAAAAGCAACAGTACTTTGGTGATCTCTCAACAATCGAGCAGTGAAAGCCCAGATGCCAGATGTATACATCAAAGGCCAGACAATCAAAAGAGAAGAAACACTGCGTTACCTCGGAATTATGTTTGACAGGACTCTGAGTGGAAAGGATCACATATCGAAAATCGTCACAAAGGCCAGAAAAGGGCTGAATGCAGTGAAGGTGATGGTGGGAGACAGGATGCCGCAGAGAAATTTGGTCTTGCTCTTTGACACGCTTGTCTTGTCTCAGGTAGATTATGGTTTTGGGCTGCTGACACTGTCAAAGACGTAACTTAGAAGGCTGGGCGTGGTCCAGAATGAAGGAATGAGAGCCATACTCGGTTGCACAAAAGATACATCAGCTGATGCAATGCGATATGTGCTAGGCCTACCCGACATGAACGAAAGACACAGGCTTGCACAGGTCAAAGCTTATCTGAAGGTCTGCACAGATCCACAGAATCCTCTTCATGACCAAGTAGGTCGTCAGACTAATGCCGTTAGATTTAACATACAAATACTTTTAAGCTACCGAAAGAGAAGCCTTCACCATTACTTTTAAAGTATTTTTCAGATTGATATTATTGGTGTAGATCTACACTTCCACAAATCATAATGAAAAGTAAGTAGGATATAGGTAACATTTCAAAATGATGTTCACTAAATCAGAAATGGCTCATTACTTAGTGTAAAAATATACTAGATACAGAACGAGAGAGAGAGAGAGAGAGAGAGAGAGAGAGAGAGAGAGAGAAAGAGAGAGAGAGAGAAGGGGGGAATTGATTTAAACAGAAAGATGGATTGATGGATTGGAAGATAGATAGAAGGACGAATAGATAACAAAATTAATAGATACATTGAAGTGGAAATCGTTATATATTTGAGGAAGTAGGCGCATTTAAATGCGCGCGTTTTGGTAGTCCATTTATTTGATAAGGTTACAGCATGGACTATTGACGTGGATACTCGCTGACAACCTCCTATGGGATGAATAGTGCCTCTCACCTAAATTATTGAACATTCAGAAAAGGTTTCATATTGCTGGAAGATATAAAAATGAGTATTTAGTGTGTAAACCGCTTTTGTGTATGCAGTTGTTTTCAATATCAGCAGACGAAAAAGTTGGACCTGGCCTATTAACATGAGAGATTCAATACATCACCTGCTTTGGATAGGAATAATTTTCTGCCTATGCAAAGAGGGTAAGTGTGAGCGTACATGTAACTGTAATATTTTTATTTTCTTCCGATTTCCAAGCGTTGACATAACTTAAAGAAAAAAGCCCAATAACATTTTGTTTTTGTTCTTTTGGCATAGCGTTTTGCATATTTCCTTAGCTGATAAAGGAAAGGAAAAATACACGCAGTAGTTTGCTACTGGCTTTATATAATATGAGTTTGATAGAAATAGTATCTTGCAAATTAAAAATAAATAAATTAAGAGCAATACCACAGAGAACCACAAGAGCCATCAGATGTAATGGATAGAAGTTTACTTGGCAGCGGACTTGAACATTAAAAAAACCTAGTTCCAAACCAGTTTTATTTATCAAAGTGGTGAGAAACTTAAGTGGATTTTGTTATATCCCGATTGCTTTTCTTTTTTTTGAAATGTTAATAGAATACAACGAACATTTAAAAAATGGATTGTTTAATTAATGAATGAGTTCCTTTACTTGAATGCTGGATAACATTTTTGGAAATAATAATCCCCGGGCACCGGGTAAAGGCTATCATTACTACCAGAATAGCAATATGAAAACGATACAGATTAAATAATCTGTCGATAAATTCTCCACCTTCACCTATCCCGTAGACTGGATGTTCGTGGGGGCGCTTTTAAAGATTTGGCTCCAGCTTCCTCCACTGCTTCCGGTCTTCAGCTTTCCTGAGTGTGTCTTTGAGTTCCAGGCCTGTCCATTCCTTGATGTTGTCCTCACAACTCTACTTCGGTCTGCCTCGGCTATAAATAAGATGGTTATAATAATCAATAGCAATTACGACCAAAGAGAGCCAATATGGATGGACTGTGTACTTATAAGCTCGATAATCGAAAATTCAAACATATATTATGAGAAACACTAGTCAGATATTATATTGGCCAAACGCCCGTGAAACTGCTCTCGGCATGTAATTTGAAGAGATTAAAAGGCTTTTCTGGTAATCATCCTATACACAAGGCTACCTATTGTTCAGATAGCTTTGTGCTGGGCTACGGTGCAGAAGTACACCAAGACTTTGCGAACTTGAACTCTGGTTGAGGGAATTTCAAAGTTTTCCGTCAAGCAAGGTTGGGACCTATCGGAGATGGACAATATTTTATGATGTCACAAATGTTATTAAACTGACACAGTTTATATTATTATGACTGTTACATTTACCATAACGTGATGAAGCAAATTGTTTACTTTTCGTACCTTAGTGGGCTAGCTTGAGAAAAGGGCAAATAGTAGATAGATAAATGTTTGAATAAATACATATATAATGGTTATTAAAATTTATGAAAAAAAAGCTCATTTAATTTAGTGCCTGGAAAAAGCAAGATAGAGATTGAGAAATAACACGGGGAAGTAAAGAAGTAGGACCTGCCAGGAGCGCACTCCAATGTTCCGCACAATGAACTGTATAACGTTTAACTCTCAATGCTTTCCTCAGGTGATTTCGAGCCTGCAGATTATGAATGTCGAAAGGGAAATTTGGACGTGTTATTTGTTTTGGACGAGTCAATCTCAATGTCCATCAAGGACAGGACCAATCAGGTATGCAAACAAACAGTCTGATAGGTCATGACGCTAACATAAATGTGTTCAGCGAGCTCTTTTAATATTTTATTCTTAAACTGAAGACAACGTTTTCATACAAGGATACTCACAAATAAACATTGAGAAGGCACTCTTCAGAGCCCAGTTAAAATTGCCTGTTATTTTCAAAGAGTTTTCTTGATTGGAGCCCCTTTTTTGGGTAGCGCCTTGCTTATTGGAAACGCCTTAGGACAAGCGCAAGAGGCAACGCACTTGAGCACACTGCGGATGCCTCTGGTTCGAATCTCCAAGTGGGGGTTTGCCATAAAAAAAAATTGAACCTTAAAGGTCTCCATTCATTATATTATTCTATTTCTCAAAAAATGTACTTCTCATTCGGAAATGCTGTCTCAGAATTTACTGTTTACTTACCAAATCGGAACGGGTGTTTACTCGTACAAATTATATCAATAGTGAGTGTACCTGTAAAATTATTTGTTTTTCGTTGTTTTTTTTCACCATGGTTATTTGCCTGTTTTGGGGCAAGGGAATATTTGATATTGAAAGACAACGTTATCTTCTTCCTTTTTCATGCTACAAAACGAAACAAAACCAAATGAAATAAACAAACGAAAACCCAACAAATGAACAACAAAACAAATGTCCCTTTTCCCATTTGAAACGTCGGTGTGTGAGCGAAGGCGTACAAGCAGTACACAGCAATTATTTATTTTTTAAAAAATTATCCTGCAATGTCACATTTTAGAAATAGGGTTGTGTTCAACAGGCTAAAGGGAAATAAAACACACACACACACACACACACACACACACACACACACACACACACACACACACACACACATTTACACACATTTAGCAGCATGCTACCACAAGAACTTGCCCTTGTAAAAATGATAGCTTAAAGTCAATTAAACACTTGAGGAGGGGGGGGGGCGGCATTAGTCACACGAAAACATATTTAAAACTACTCCAATTTTTTTACGTGTCCATTTGGACCTGATGTTCTTTCTACATACGAATGCTTTGAATATGGGGCTAACAGGTGTCCACAGCCGATTTTAATTTAATTTTTTTAAAATTGCTGAATAAAATGAAACAAGTCAATCAATAGATCAGAACAGAAGAAAGGAACAATTGATAATAATTGTGACGAAGGCCCCTTTTCTCCAGTACTCTTCAATTGTGGTGTCACACCCTACCCAATCCTCTTCCCCCATTCTATAAAGCCCCCCTACCCCCGACCAAACAAACAAACAGAACAACCCCCACCCTCCCAAAAAATAAATAAATAAATAAATAAAAACCCAACAAAAACATAAAAGAGGAAAAACGAATTAAAATCCCCAAAACCTGCAACGGCAATAACAACCCCTGCGCGCCCCCTTGTTCCTGCACCTACCTCCCCCCCCCCCGTTCTAAAAAAAAAGGAACCAAGAAAAAATATTAAGAATTGTCCATACTTTAGTAAGTAAATCAAGACAAAATGCAATAAATTTTCATTACATCATTAAATTACTAGTTTTACTTTTTTTTTTTTGCAGCGGGAATTCTACAACCACCTCCTTGACATGTTCTTAGCCCCAGATGAAGATTATATGACTCGAGTACAAGTTGGGTTAGTGTCCTTCGGCACCAAAATCACGGTATGTTCACATCACGCTATAGGCCCGTCCGTTTAGAGAAAAAAACGGCTTTGTAAAGATAAACTTTGATTCCTTTTGAAATGGTCTTTAAAATAATTTTAAAAACTTCAATTTACTGCCATTTGCTTATCAGGCAAGAGTCTTTTTTAAATTTTTTTTTTTTTAACCTAATAGTAGTATTAGTGGTGTTACAATTTTGTAGGGGGTTTCACGCTCGCCCGGCGAGTAGGGATTTTCGCTAAAATCCCGGTTTTTCCTCTTTCTCGGCTCATAACTTTATTAATTCTTAGCCTAGCATCATAAAACCAACATGAAATGAGAGGTCTATATGTGCTTTTTGTGTCCATGTTAGTTTCAATGGGGGCAGAAATGCGTAACATTATAGATTTTTGAGTTAAAGCTACAAAGATCGTTACGCGTTCTGCCACAACGCGTGGCACGCAAATTTTGACAAATTTAGAGCGCAGCACATTTCGGGCGGTTTATTCGAGCTGAATTTTCTATCGCTAACCGTTGTAGGTGGCCGTTGAAATTACGTGATTCAGTAGTAGAATTGGACGCTGAAGAGTTTGCAACCCACTCGGAGTTTGTACGACGC